AGGAATCCAACAAAGGTTAGTGGGTAAATTATTTGATAGCCTGTATATAGTGGGATAATAGATCTCAGACAAACTCTTAATAGAAAAGTATGTTATTAAAAATCACTACCAGCATTAGCTCAAACTGATCCTTATCCCTCAGCTTCAAATAAATGTGAACTCCCAGTTTTTTTGAAACTGGTTCATTACCAGTTGGAAGTAGAAGCCCGTTAATTCAGCATGTGGATAGAAATTGTCACTGCTTTTAACCTGGTGCTACGCCATGCTTAGTGACTATGAGGACTCTAGGCTCCAAGGTTGTGAATCTTCCATGAGTGATAAAACTGACTTTCAAATTTATAAATAAAAAATGAAACTGGATTAAATTTCCTGAAGCTACCAAAAATGAAGAAAGCAAAAACCCTTCGCCCAGCTGGTGATCGTTAAAAAAATGAAATGCAGAAAAGTCACAATGGTGGTAATTTATTGGCTTGCTCTAACAGAAAATTGTTTAAAATACCTATAATTCATGCTCCATCTCCATTCTTTCATAAGTCATGGTAATTACTACATGTCCCAAAGGGCAAAGAAATACAGAGATTCTCAGTAATAGGCCTTCTGTCTTCTTTTAACAGGACATGCATATTATCAGCACCGATGAGAATCAGGTGTTTGCAGCTGTTCAAGAGTGGAACCAGAACGACACGTACAATCTGTATATCTCGGACACGCGAGGGGTGTACTTCACCCTGGCCTTGGAAAACGTGAAAAGCAGTCGAGGACTGGAGGGGAATATCATCATTGACCTTTATGAGGTATGTAGTAAAGGTCACCCTACAAAGAACAGCAACTGCTTGCTAGTTCAAGCAAGTGCAAATCTCTTACCAACCCTCCAGGCCCTTCATTTGTTTTGGGATCAGCCCAGAGGCATTTACTGGATTTGATGCTGAGCTGACTCATGTTGGAATAGATGCAGTCCATTCTGCTATAGGTGTGACAACTGGTTGCTTTCAAGTCAACGACTGGTTAGGTATGTGGCATTTCCAAAAGGGAAAGCCATTATCCTTCTCATCCTAATATGGATGTCTAGAGAAGGACTCAAAATTCTATTTTTTCCCTTGGACAGCTAGAGACACCTGCTTGTAAGCAGGGAATGTGGATTCCACCTTTGTGAGCACTGAGCAGTGTATGAACGATAAGGAAATGTTTATAGGTGCCATTTGCCCAGAGATAACAGCTGGATAACTTCTACCCTGAATCATCTTCCATTCTCATTCTTCTGTCAAGCCTTTCAGCCTTGGCCAACAGCAGTCCATTCAGAGCAGTTGTGCCAGTTCCTGGTTTCTTCAGAATATTCTGGTTTTGGGGTGCCCTAACTCACTGGATGGGAGATCTGCTGAGATTCAGGGCTCAGTGCTTTTCCAGCAACAAACAACTAATCGGTAATACTAATAGTAGTGGTTGCAGGCTGACTTCTACTGTTACATGGAGAAATGTTTTTGCAGTTGCATGTAGAAGTTAGGATTACACATTTATTTATTTCAGCCAGAATAATGCCCATTGGACAACATCATCAGTTTGTTTCCAGGTAGTTTAAGGCAATAAGAGAAAAGTCACAAATAACACATGGATCAGTATGAAGGTCAGGGTTTAGATTTTATTTTCACCTAGTTAAATATATTTTCCTGCCTGTGAAAAAAAGATGTATTTCTGTGTTGTGATAAACCAGCTAAAATAAACAAGCATCATCTCCCATTCCTGGGCAAACTCTGTATTCCCTAGTTGTGTATCGTGGACTCTCTACTGTTAAATGCTGATAGAGATTTTCAGAGTCATTCAAAGGGCAGTGTCACTCAGGGCGCTTTAGAGTAGAAGGATTTGCATCCTGGCTGTAGCCAGGAAGTTGTGGATTTTCAGCAAGTTCCTTCCTCCTGTCTCACTTTCCCAGCTGTGCAATAGAGACCAGACACAATACAAAATCTTCTTGGGGACATTTCAACAGGACCATATTCTGCTGGAATGGGTTCTGCTGACAAATCAAAACATTTGGAACAATTGGGTTGATTTTTGACAGAATTTGGGAGTGGAAGGAAAGGGAAGAAATCAAGCTTGCAAAACATCAGTGTTTAGCGTATTCAGGATTTCCATCTTTCATGTACAAGACCAACACGAAAAGGTCCCACACTGCTTCTGATGTGACCTGCTGTCTCCCATGTTATGACACTCTGGGGAGGGAGTGGGGCAGACCACATCCCCGGGCTCACAGAGCTCATGTGTGACACAGTGCATGCTGTATCTTCAAGCCCATCAGAAGCCTGTCTGCAGGCACACAAGGAAATCCAGAAGTGGGCTGTTTCCTAGGGATTTGCTCAGTGAACATTCTTGTCTTTTTCTTCCAGAGACACTGCACGAGGCCTTTCAGCTGTGCAGGCATTATCAAGATGTATTTATAATGCCATTCATAGTCTTCTAAGGCTGGATTGAGATGACTTTACTGCTTTTTCAGAGACTGTCCACTCCTGAGAGCACTCAGATGGCCTTACTTTTGGCCTGTTGTTTCGATGTATTTTTTCATCTCTCCATTTTTCCTAGGTAGCAGGGATCAAAGGCATATTCCTGGCTAACAGGAAGATAGATGACCAAATCAAGACTTTCATTACCTACAATAAGGGCAGAGACTGGCGTTTGCTGCAGGCACCAGACACCGATCTAAGAGGGGATCCTGTAGTTTGCCAGTTGGTGAGTGGCAGACCTTTTCCAAAGCACAACTGACTCCATCAGAGCTGCTTATTTTAGTCACTGGGTTAACAAAACATCCAGTGAAACTGGGTAGGAGGGATTCTTGCCAGTCAGAGATGTGCAGAGTCCAGGTGCTCCAAAATGGGGCACAGTTTACAGACAAGAACTTTGGGTTGGGCTTTCTGCTGAAATTCAACAACATTCAGTGAAAAGCCATTTTACAGTAGGCTGTAGCCCCTGTGTTTCAAAGGAATGGTGTTTCTCTAAAATTTCACTGGTTAATCTCTCTCCCTGTGTTTTTTCTCTTGACCTGCTGGATGTTAAATGAATTAAGTAGATTTCTTTTTCTATAGCTTCATAGATTTTAAGGGAAAATTCTGACCATCTTTCTTGACCTTTTTTATGGAACTTAAGTCAGAATAAGAAAGTTTCTGGGAAAAAAACTGATCTAGAGCTGGTAAAAGCAAATGCATACATGCTTGCTTCTTAATGCAGTGTTCCTGCTTCTCATAGTACTTTTATGATGCTTATTCAGAAAATGAACATATGCCGCTATTTGTAATAGTTCTGAGAGCAGAGGGGTCATTTTCAGAAGGATCAGAGCATCTGTGTGCAGTCGCCAAGGGTTCCTCTAGTATTCAACTTGTTCCATATTAAAGCTTCTGCCTTTTGTTTGTTTCCTGTCAACAGCCCTTTTGCTCATTGCACTTACATCTGCAACTCTCAGAAAATCCCTATACTTCAGGAAGCATTTCCAGCAAAGAGACAGCTCCTGGGCTGCTGGTGGCAACAGGTAAGAACTTGAGTGCTTCTCACCACTCACCCATGCCTCACTGGGAGCCTGAGAGTATACGAGATATTTCCTGTTGGTGTAAAAGCTTTCAGCTCTGTTTTAGCAACTGCTGAGCTAATTCACATTAACTCCCATTTGCTATGAGCTAGGAGAAGGTATGTGACCCCTGACTTCAAAAAAGATAATGCCTGTCAGGTGTTTGTTGCTCTGCAATAACCCATATGCAGGTCTAAGCCCACACCTGCAAGAGATCATTACCAACTGGCATTACTAATTCCTCTCACTTGACATAATTACAACCACTGATGTAGGTGTCTACCCATTTTCTGGAGTTACCATGAACAAGAATAGGGCCTATAATCATGGCTACACTCCTGGGAGGTATCAATACGTTCCATGTTTTTAGTAGCAACCACAGAGTTGTCACAAAGCCTGTTGGGTGAAGCCTGGACTTCATGAGTGCCTGTCCTGTGTATGGCATCTACTTTCAACACGGTATTGCTGCAATACTAGCAGCACTTCATCAACACTGCATGAGTCATTGTTATTGTGAGTTGTTCTGCAAAATAGTGCTTTGGTAGGTCATGATGTTTTAATGGCAACCTGTTACAATGCTTCACTGTGGCAATAGCGGACCCTCTGTAATTAATCTGACAACTATCACAGGCCCGGTGTGCACACAGCATGCAACCTATTCAGGATGTATGGGGCTACCAACCACACTCAGAACTCCCACAGTTCTGTGGGAGCTGCTGGGCTATCAAAGTGCTTTCCGAATGGCTGGTGCTGTTGAAAGCTGGCCTCTGAATCAAAGAATCACAGAATGGTAGGGGTTGGAGGGGACCTCTGGAGATCATCTAGTCCAACCCCCCTGGTAGACCAGGATCACCTAGAGCAGGTTGCACAGGATCATGTCCAGGCGGGTTTTGAATATCTCCAGAGAAGGAGACTCCACAACCTTTCTGGGCAGCCTGTCCACATGCTCTGTCACCCTCAAAGTGAAGTAGTTTTTCCTCATGTTCAGATGGAACTTCCTGTGTTCCAATTTGTGCCTGTTGCCCCTTGTCCTGTTGCTGGGCATTGCTGAAAAGAGTCTGGCCCCTTCCTCTTGATACCTGCCCTTTAGATATTTATAAGTCTTCCCTTCTCCAGGCTAAACAAACTCAGGTCTCTTAGCCTTTCCTCGTGAGAGAGGTGCTCCAGTCCCATAATCATCTTTGTAGCCCTCCGCTGTACTGTCTCCAGTAGTTCCATGTCTTTCTTGAACTGGGGAGCCCAGAACTGGATGCAGTACTCCAGATGTGGCTTCACCAGGGCAGAGTAGAGGGGAAGGATAACCTCCCTTGACCTGGTGGCCATGCTCTTAATACACCCCAGGATACCATTGGCCTTCTTGTCCATGAGCGCACATTGCTGGTTTATGGATAACTTGTTGTCCGCCAGGCCTCCCAAGTCCTTCTCTGCAGAGCGGCTTCCCAGCAAGTCAACTCCTAACCTGGACTGGTACCTGGGTTGTTCTTCCCTTGGCGCAGGACCCTACACTTGCCCTTGTTGAACTTCATTGGGTTCCTCTCCGCCCAGCTCTCTAGCCTGTCCAGGTCTCACTGAATGGCAGCACAGCCTTCTGGTGTATTGGCCACTCCTCCCAGTTTTGTATCATCAGCAAACTTGCTTAGGGTACACTCTGTCCTTTCATTCAGTTCATTGATGAATATGTTGGACAAGACCAGACCCAATACTGACCCCTGGGGCACACCACTAGCTACAGGCCTCCAGCTAGACTCTGCGCCACTTATCACAACCCTCTGAGCTCTGCCATTCAGCCAGTTCTCAATCCACCTCACTGTCCACTCATCTAACCCTAAGCTTGCTTATGAGGGTGTTATCAGACACAGTGTCAAAAGCTTTACTGAAGGGAAGGTAGACAACATCCATGTCTCTCCCTTCATCTACCCAGCCAGTCATGCCATCACAGAAGGCTATCAGATTGGCCAAGCATGATTGATTTCCCCTTGGTGAATCCATGCTGACCACTCCTGATAACCTTCTTTTCCTCCACGTGCTTAGAGATGACATCCAGAATGAGCTGTTCCATCACCTTTCCAAGGATGGAGGTGAGGCTAACTGGCATGTAGTTTCCCGGGTCCTCCTTCTTGCCCTTTTTTGAAGACACGTAGACCATCCTGCCTTTCTACAGGGAGGCTCCTACATATGCTCAAATACATCCAAATAGCTTGACTGTTCTTTCTAAGGCTGATTTTATCTCCTTTGTCTTGTTCAGCCTAGCAGTGGCTTGCAGGTGTGTCATATTAGTATATTGCCTATATGAATTTACACTGTTTCTTCCAGCCATTTCCATTCTTAAGTCCTTCTGTGCTTCCATGTGTCTGCCAGACTACGACAGAACCTGACAGGTTCTCTTCGTATCCCTTTATATCTCAACAAAGGAGACACCATGTGATTTCCAGTTTACTGATCCACGCCAAATAGGGTGAGAGAATTTGTTTTAAACCTCCAGATCTTCCTATGCATAGCCAAGTGGAGTCATCACTCCTAGCAGGTCTTATGTGCTAGATGGATGCTTGGGGGCAAGCCCTACTCATGATGCTGTGATTGCAGAGGCTTTTTTTCTTTAACCTTTTGGGAAGCAAATAGAGGCAGCAGGACAGTGAGATTCTAGGCATTGATCTAAATTGTTAGTAAATGAGGTTCTTTTCAAGCTGCCAGTGCATGGGATGAATGCTTTCCCAGTCTAACAATTAACCTTTAAAAGGCAGAATATAATTTCTGCCTTACTGCTTTGTACAATAAAAAGCTTAACCTGTTGGGAATATACACATCTGTTTCCCCTACCTGGTTTCACAACAACGGGAACGTCTCAACATATTGGTGAATGTGTTCCAGGATAAGCACTGCAACTTATTCTCACAGGCACTGGCTGCTCAAACACTCTATGTCTTACTCTTTCATTTACAGTGGTACATTTCCAGCAATGATTGGAAACTCAAACTCTTGATATGAGGACAGAGGTTAGATTCTTGCAAAGGGAAGAATTACGTTTTAGTATCTAATTGTATAGCTGCCAAATCCTCTTGACTTGTTTGGGAATTAGTTATATTTGGTGAGGTTTGAATCCATGTAGCTGAAAGAAACTAGATAGAGAGAATGAAGAAAATAATGGAACAGATTTTCACAGAAAAACAGACAGAAAGAAGTGATAGCAACAGGATCTTACCTTATTACTCTTTAACTGCCACAATCTGGAAGTCCCTGTTTGGAAAGTTGTTTTTCCAGTTTTTATATTTAAAATACAATGATACAAAACTTACACTTCTGCCTTTAAGTCAGTTTCTAATTCTAGAGGACTTCCACTCATGATAACACACTGGGCTAAACAGACCTTTGGGCTGACACGGTAGATTTATCTTTGTGAACCTGGATGTCCCTATAGATTGTCTTTCTATATGGATGGCCATGACAGATTTTCCTTGTAGCTTTATCTAAAGCAGTTGGTCATTTTTGCTGGTGTCAGGGAAGAAGATTAGGTAGATGGACAGAGAGACATTTCCTACATCCTGAGCACTGATGGAAAAGCCTTTCTTGAATTTTATTTTTTGAAACAGCATTGTCACAACAGTGTGGCTAGTTGGACTCCACGATGGTGACAGGAGTGTGTCAACCCGCATCTGGGTTTTAATTTCTCATTTTCCAGCATTAAATGTCAGAAATACAATTAACATTTTCATTAGTGTGTTTTTATTATGCTCTTGTTGATGCTACAGATGTATAAGCGTGCCACTTCTGCCTTTGCTGTTTTTGAAGAAAAAATACTAGTTCTCCCTTCTTTCCATGGAAGTTACATCTACTTTAAAAACAGTCTCATTTGGAAGGTATGAGAGTGGCTCCCTGGGTAAAGAATTCATGGGCTTTGAATAAAGAAGTCATGGGTTTGACCGCAGTATGGTGGCTCTGGGCCATTGTCATTGAAAGGCCTTCCGATGAAGTGTCTGTCAGTGTTACATCTGCCTGCTTCCTATGGGACAGATGTTCATGCCACCAGAATCCCACCTGGCACTGAAGGTACTGCTGACAGACCAGCAGAAAAAACAGTTCCTGGGTGGCTGTGGTAGCTTTTCCCTGGGTGCTTAGGGAATTTGGGAGGTGAGAACAAATTAGAGACACCTGCACTGTTCAGTGAGCCTGGTGCTTGTGGAAATTTTAACTCTGGAAGCAGAAGCAAGATGCTGACCTGAGGGCAGTGTGGGGAATAAACTAATAAGGTCTATTCAGAGCATATGCAGGTTTTTCAGATATTGAGCATCTCTCTCTTGCAGCTATTGGTGGATGCTCAGAGGTTCCAGAAGGCTGGAGATACAGTTCAAGTTCATTATTTACTGTGTATTAAGGTGTATCGCTGTAAGATTTGAGGTTCTCTCTCCCATCTCAGATGAGGGACCTTGGAAAAAAAACACTGTTTCAAGCTCTGAGGTAGTGTCTTCAAAAGGTGTTCTGCTGTGCTTTCTCTGTATATATGGTTGAGGTCGATCTTTGAGCTTTTCTTTGTATTGCTTTGATGTGTGGCATATCCATTCCCTAACGCATGGTGAAGGCAGAGTAGGTCACCCTATAAAGCTGCCAGCAGAACAGTTTCCATCATAATGGAAATTACAAGATTAAAATTAAGTACTGTACAGAATAAGCAGTATGTGTAAACTCACAATTTGGGATAACTAGGTCAATGAGACCAACATTGTCTAGAATGCTGCTCAATCTGGTTTTACCTCTCTGCTGCAAAGTAATTTCACCCACCTTAATTCTCTGAACTGTTTCTGCCCCCAGGTGAGGTTCACACTTAAACAAACAAGATTTCCTTCAAGTGTAACTTACATTTCATTACATCACAGTCCTCATTAATTGCAAACCATTAGGAAACCTAGGGAGAAGCTTTGTTTATTTGACTGCAGGTTCTGAGATCAGTTATGTGTATGTGCATTTTGACAGAATCTTGAGTAGACTTTCTAGTCCCCTAATAATGGGCTTCACTGGGGCCTGGATTTCAACTTTAAACTCAGCTGTGTAAGTAAGTTTCCTTTGGATGCTCTCCTTTACACAAGAAATAGAGACAGAGGTAATTGCCTTACCCTTGACAAAGACTGGCAGATCACAGAGGTGCAACTCACCAGCCAGAGCACAAAGACTACGAGTTCAGAGAAAACGTGTATAGAGTGAAATATCTAGTAGCCAGGGACGGCAGCCACTATTCGGCTGCCATTCTGATGATTTGTATGCACCAAATGGGCATGGGGTTTCACGCACAATTTTTTGAGTATGTAGATCCTTGCCTAAAATAAGCCTGCCTTTAGTGGCTGGCAATTATGGGCAATACTATCTCTTAGGAAAATAAGCTGATAATACTATTTCTTTCCAGTGTCAATTTTCAAATGGCACAGCTCTTGTAAATGAATCTTGCCACTTGACCATAGTGTTGATTTTAGATGAGAATAGAATCAAGAATAGCAAAAGAGCACTGTTGAGGCCAGCTACTTTTGGTTTCTTGGAACAATGCAGTTCTGTGGTCATCCATACAAGAATGACATTTGCTTGTGTTTCAGGCAATATTGGCTCTGAGCTTTCCTACACTGATGTTGGCGTGTTCATATCTTCTGATGGTGGAAATTCCTGGAGACAGGTATGTTTTGCAGAGTGAAGGAATGCATGGAGCCTTTTGCTATTCTTCTTTTTCTGGGTCTTCCCTTCGCAGTGGAGTGGAGCACTCATGAAGTACCTAATTTGTTCGCAGATCTTCGAGGAGGAATACAATGTGTGGTTTCTGGACTGGGGAGGGGCACTAGTGGCCATGAAACACACGTCAGTGCCCATCCGGCACATGTGGTAAGGAAACTTGTTACTTTGAGAAGGTTTCCTGGTGGGGATAAGCTCACAGTGGTGCTAATATAACTTGCATCACCTGGTCAGCATCTGCTAGTGTCTACAAAATGAGCAAATAAGATCATTCTTACCTGTATTTTACCATCATTTTGGTTTTGTTGATTAATATAATGATTATTTTACCATTTTATAAATATAATGGCTATATACATAATCACACACATATATGAATTATTCTTTGCACTAGTCATGTACTATGAGACTTCAGGTGGGGTTTGTTTTCCACAGACACATATACATACATACATCTTTTGTGCTTCAGATATTTCTGAGAGGATGTGTCCCTCACTTCTGCTTTTTGTGTACAGAATTCGGTATTAAACTGGTAAGACAGATAAAAGGAGGGAGAGGAGCGGGCAGTAGGTGTTGATAAGGACAACAGAGATATGTTGTTAATGTTGCTGTTTCCTATAGGATTCCACTATCAATCTCCAGAGATAGAGTGGTGGTAACTGAATAAAGGTGGGGGTGGAATAGGGCAAAAGTATTTCTCGGCTGAAGATACTGTTTTGCTATAAATGGGTTATAACAATCTAAGCACTAAAGATACTGCTCAAAATTATCCTCTCCTTAGCCTTTGCCCCTCTCACTCCTGCAGCAGCTAAGCATCGGAGAGAGGCATTTTGAAATTCAGAAGTAACCTTGTTTACACAAAATGTGTGTATTAGCATCACCTCCCGTCTCTGGTCTTGAGTGAAAGAAGTGCATGGCTACTGGACTGACCTACCCAGCTTCTAATGTTGTTTAGAAGTGAATTAGTTAGAAATAGCCTTCAGAGACAAGTTTTGTGTTCCTATCTGCAAGATTGAGTCGTCTCTCAGCTTGACGGTGCTAAGCACATGTCTATCTCATGCTCTTCACGCAGAACAGGAAACATGGCCTTCAGTCAAATAGAAGAAGAAAGCAATGGTGTTTGGCAGCAGTGATGAGATGTTAAGGTCTTCTCTACCTGAGTCATTATTGTACAAAATGCTTCAGATAAATTACAGTTATTCAGAAGCTGGAGCCCTCAAGACAGGCTGTCTTTACCCATCACAAGCTAATGTTCTAGAGATGTTAAGAACATTAATGGCTACTTTTTCAATATGAAAAGCTTCTGGACTTTATATTCTTGACCTGACAGATAATTCTGGGATGACTGCAACATAGATTTCTATTAAAGTTTGAATATGTTGCATTTGAGCACATTTCTTTACCACCTGAGCTAAAGAAATGACTGCTCTAGTTTTGGTGTAATAGTGGATTGTTAACCACAGGATGTATTGGCTTATATTCCTAAAGCTTTGAAATTTTCCTAGGATCTTCTTGAGATAGTGGGATCAAGTGTTCTGTAAGAGATCTGTGCCTCCATGTGGGATTACAAGCAAGTTGTTATATGCAAAATGAGGGTTGCGATCTTTGTCTTGCTTTCTCTGTTCAGGAAAGAGATTGTTTTATCATAAGCAAACTTGTTGCAGTCATAACATAATATATGTAGCCATACTGAGTCAGAGCCAAGGGTTAGTCTAGGCCGGCATCCTCTTGCCAACACCCTCCATAACTGGACATACAGAGGAGAGTAGTAGCAGAGCAGACCCATAATGATGGTTCCAGCAGACTCTAGCTTTCTGTCTATGGTTAGAATGTGGTGTTGTGTGACAGAAGAATTTGCCTCTGATAGGTAACATAGTAGTCATGACTATGGCTGAAGTGCCATTGAGACCATGTCCAAGTCTTTAGACCAAACCAAGTATGAGCCAAGGCAGGAGAAGTGTGTGTTAGCCAAGGGTAGGTGTCACCAGCATTAGGTGCATCAGGCTGTGGCAAGTTGAGCTCTGGAAGAGTGAAAGGTGAGCCATTTATTGAAAGAGCTGTAAGTCATGTATTAACCATTTATGACTACATTATTCAACCCAGGTGTAACTGTTTTAATTTTGTCTTACCTTGTGAAGGCTCTTTGGACGTAAAAAGCGTGTTACATTCAAGTGCCTGTACTTAGATGTTGGGAAAGATTTGGTCACAGGTTGACTTTCCATAGGACCTGAGAGCCCAGTTCACCTTTGCCTGCTTTGCAGACGTTCCTTTCTGATGTTCTTCCTTTCCACTAAGACTCGTGAAATGGCATGTGCAGTACTATGAGTGCCCCACCCACTCTATTAAATGAGTAGTGATTTAGAGCTGTTATCAATAAGCTCCAACAGGTTTCCTCCAAAATTGTACCCTTAGGGGCTTTGGATTTTGCTTCATATTGCCTCAGTAGGCACCTGTTTTATGCGAAGGAGTGGAATAGATTAAAGGGTACATGTATATCTATTAGTTCTCAGGCTGAGACATTGTACAATAAGTTTCATCCTGGAGAAAAGAGGGGCGGATAATTGAAAAGCCAAGAGAACTTTAGCTAAGCTAATGAAGCATGCTGTTCCCCAGAAATTGAAATGCTATTTAGATAGATAAGCATGGAAGCAGAACAGCATACAAATGCACAGGTGTATGGGAAGATACATACATTTAAATAAATAGATTTGGAGCAGATAAGCTTTTTGTATGCTGTTGTACTCCCAGCTTTCTGTCTGTGATCTGTAGTCGGCTTCCTATTCTGGTAGATGTGCATTGTGAGTCAGGCGAAGGTGTTTTGCTAGGTTCTGTGAGAGGCAGATACCTAGTGAGTGGTGACTTTAAGCCTTGGCTTTCCACACGAAAGAACTGAGGTTGGTGTAACCCATTGCTTGTAATATTACATATTAAACTGGCCTCCTGGTCCTTTGGTGGCATCTCAGATAGTATCCCTGATGCCAGCTACTTGGAGTGGGGAGGATTCAGTTTCCAGCAAGACCCTCTCAGACAAATCCAGGTGGTCAGATGCATGTGTGTGCACACACATGCACATCCCCCCCCAAATTTCCTTGCTTGGAAAAAAAGGCAAATTTCTTTTTTACACTCACTTTAAAATGAGAAGTGTTTCCTGCTATTCAAAGAAGTTTTTCTCTCTTTGGTCATGTCCATTGAGAGCAATCTGTCAGCCTTCATAGCCCAGGTACCTCGCAGAATTACAGAGAACTCTGTAATGACCCTGCTGGGAGAGGATCAAATAATTTTATAGCCAATAAACCTTTGTGCTTCTCTGTTTGTTCTTCCTTTGCTGGTATAATTTGGAGCTGAAATTCTGGGCAGAAATTGTGCGTAAGTGGTTGTGTGGAGAGTCTGGGGGCAGGGAGAAACTTGGTTTCAGAACTGTTCGTGGGCAGTAGGTCTGGGAGCTGGATGCTGACAGTCTGCAGGTTGCCTGTCTTTCCTGCTGCAGTAGCAGCTGGGTGTGCACACCCTCCTTCGGCTGTTGTGGGCACAGGCTGTCAGGGTGACGTGAGAGCTGGTAGCTCCCTGAGGGCTGGGAAGCTGGGAGCTGACTGAGGTCCCTGGTACAGCGGGGCAGGATCTCGCAGCTGGGGCCCATTCCACCCCCAGTGAGGAGCAGGGCAGCCCCAGCCCTGGGCATCAGGCAGCTCACTGGGGATGGGCTGAGGCCAGGCAGGGATGTCAGCCTGTGTGTCAGGCCCATGGCCGGGCAGGGCTGCAGCAGAGCTGGAGCCTGGCACTCCCATGGTATCAATGGGGGGTTCCTGGGCATGGATGGGGTGAGGGCAGGCCATGAGGGAGGCTGGGAAGGGACAGTAAGTCATGGGCCATGGGAGTTCTGACCCAGTCTGCCTGCTGGTGTGGTTCACCTGTTCATTCACCTACTCCTTTACAGTTGTCAGAGATAGACACATTGCCATGGTGTAACTGAGAGCAGGGTTTCCTAACCCTCCTTTGCTGATCTAAAAGCCTGTTGTAATAACTAATTCAACCAAGACCCTGTCGGCTGGGTTAGGATACACGTGCTGTTTGATAAAAACAGAAAGTAAGGCACACGGTGGTTGAGGGTAGGGACAGATGATCAAAAGCCACTAAATTACCCTGGCTTGTCACTGACAGTGTGAACACTCTCAGCCTCTAACAAGGGAAATGCTTTCATTTTAACCAGCATACTACTTTGCTTTACAACTGTAACAGGCAAAGAGCCCCTGACTAACCACTGACTGTGACTCTGTTTGGCCTCCTTCCTCCACCGCTCCCTAAAATGGAGGCCACCTCTGAGATGGTATGTGAAGAAATATTAATAGGGGTAGAGAGATCGTAGCTGATGCTGTATGGCACTTATACATGCATGGGTCGAAACGCCCCATGGTATTGACAGCAATGTTCATGCATTCAGGCCAGGGCTGCTTTTGCTCTGCCTCATGCCAATGCTATTGCAGATCCAGAAACAGGACTTGCCTATGCCCCTTGATCCCTTAGTCTGATGTATAGCTGGATCAAGTACATCCATGTCCTTATTGCCAGTGTTTATACTCTCTAAGGCTTTGATCTTTCAAAGTACACCAAGAGCATGAATTAGTGGGCTGGGAAATGACAAAGATTCGTGCTTGTCTATAAATTTAGCTGCTGGAGCTTGCAGACCTTAGCCAATATTTAATTGCTGCAGTTGCTCTAGAGTAAGTCTTTTTACGTGTATAAATCTTGTCTGCTTCTATCCCAGGGTGAGTTTTGATGAGGGAAGATCCTGGAGTAAATACAGTTTCACATCAACACCACTTTTTGTGGACGGATCTCTTGTAGACCCTGGCATAGAGACCCAGATAATGACGTAAGTACAGCAGCTCTTAACTTCTTAAAAATGTGATGGCAGAAGGGGTGCATGGAGATCCCCAAGTGCATGGTGAGCCTCATGGTGCTGGGTACAGCATTGTGTAGCTACACATGTAATGTTGCATGAAGGCACAGTGTTGTTTTGTGTTTTTTTGCTGATGGTCACAGACCCAGGTGGAGTGTCCGTGCATCATGTGGCTAATGGAGCCAAACTCTTCCCAGTAGTGGCAGGGGGTATAAGAAGAAGAGATGGTCCCAAGCTGTAGCTTGGGAGTTCAGATAGAGCAGTAGGAAAATCTGTCGTTTAGCCCTGGTCAGGTTACAGAGAGGCTGTGGTATCACCACCCTGAAAGTTTTCAAGCCTTGGATAGATGAAGCCACATCTGCCCTGATCTGTAGGTGGCAACAGTCTTATCTTGGAGTAAGAGCTTGGACTAGTGACATCCAGAGGTCCCTTCTTATAAATACTGCTGAGACTGTGTTCCTTGAATCCGATGGCCCAGGGACTGCAGTGCTCTTCAGAGGCCTGAGATCTGTATGGTTGCACCTAATGTCAGCTCTGTGCTTGTTCCAGTTGTGCAGCTTAACTGTCTTTTGAGATTGCTGCTGGGTATGAATGTCCCCAAACCTTGTTGCTTGCTATCTGCATTGTGGGCTGTACATTTAGCTCAAGTTAAAGTTGTTCTCAGAGTGCATATGCAGAGCTGAGCTCAGAGTAACCTTCCTGGTCTGGGGTGTAGGATGCTATGATTCACCCATACCATGGAACTGGTACTACTGAGCCTGGACTGATACTTCCTCCTCCCAGGAGTGCTGAAGCAATAGCTAAGGCTGGTGTAATTGGTGGAATAATGTTCCAAGAACAGGCCAGGATCTGAGTTTAACAACCAGGAGAGAGAGAGAGGGAACTTTTAAAATTCAAAGGCATCTTCGAAGAGTCATCTGACCTCTTAGACAAAGTAGATAAGAGCAGTCTGTTCTGGGATTCTGAACAAAGCAAGGACTAGACGCACTGTCTTTGTTGCTTGCAGAGATGCCTTCTCCCCTTTATTTTCTCTGACCTGGCTGGAGCAGCTTTCTGAAAAGGATCAAAAAGCAAGGTGGCTAAGATGCGTTAGACTGAGGGACTCCTGCAAAGCATATCTGCAGTGGCATGGAGGAGCGCTTTTGGTTTATCACACCAGACAGTGTTGCAGCACTCCAACTTAGGGGCAGGAGATATACTATGAATTTCACCTTGCAGTTGGTTTGCTTTTCCTGCTTTCTGCACCTGCAGATTTCTGAAGTTCCTGCAAATTTTCACTACTTGCAAGAAAAAAGAGATTCAGGCCCAGTATATTTTCTTCTAGGCTTCAGTCCATCTGCCTACTTATGTGGCAGAAATGCGTAGGTAGATCTCATTGCTGGTGTCACAGGTAGTGACAGACTGAGAGTAGACTGCTGGGTATGCTTGTCACCAGTTTCTGAGGAAGCTTGGATCAGATAACAGTTGATCCAAGTTGATAACAGTCATAGTGATTTGAATTTATTCCAACTGGTTGTGTGATTTGCGTCGGTGTGCCTTTTGAAAACCAGACCTACATCAGCCTTACGTAAACAGAAGTGACTCTGTGGTGAGGAGCTGTCTGCACCTGCAGTGGAGCTCACCTTAGCTGCAAGGAAGGGACTGGGGAAAAATCCTCTTCTGGCAAAGCTACATTTCAGCTGGCTTCTCTGCCATCTGTGCCATGACGGATGAAGTATCTTGGTGCTGTAGTCTCAGGAGGATCAGGAAGGTGTAGCCAGCTCCCATATAGCTCGTCTACATCTCCTGTGCTAAAGTGTCCTGGGAAGATCAGGCAAAGTGGTTAACCTTTATGCCTATAAAGCATAGGAGCTGCACGCTTATGTTTGTTTCCCAAAGAGTCCTGGGGCAGAACGAGGCAACCTCCATGTCTATGTCATAGACAGCACTTGAACTTTTTATCAGAGTAGAGGTGGTATCAATTTTGGAAGGGCTGCTAGTTTTTCCTTTACTTCAACACCATGCCTTGGCTTTGGCTTTTTCTTCATAGAAGTGGAATACTCGCTTGTGTAGAAGAATATATCTGTGCATCTGCTGCCTTGCTATCTGCAAATATTGCCCCTATTTTTGCAGAAAGCAAACCACAACAGCATATGATATACCTGTAAGCCTTTTCACAAGACTGCTGTGAGCATCCTGTTGGGGAAATACATGCCAATTCCCAGCTGAAGATTAGAGCCTGCATTCTGTTCACTCTACACATTTTTCTCCAAATGCAGCAATAGTGTATCACTTTTTGTGTTGGCTAATATGGTGTTTTTCTGTGAAATTCTTTGTGCAATGTGTATCGCTTTCCAACCACACACACATCCAGACTCACACACACACGCACAGAGGGACAGATCTGAGCTCAAATAAATCTGCACATCAGCACCTTCATTGAAATCAATGGAGCTAATCAGTTTCAACTAGCTGTGGATTTAGCCCATTTACTTTATAAATCAATGCAGTTTTCTTTTGAGATGAAAGATGCATTTTAAATCTAAGGTTATGGTTACTTATATGTCTGTAGTCTTCTGATGGAGAATGTAGGAAGTGAATTATCTTGCTGAATATTGTGTATCAGCTTTGTTGAGAGCTGGCTCTTTTTCTTTTGAAATCTTTGCAGGCTTATTATTATTATTGCTATTGTTATTGGTATTGTTTTTATTATTACTGTCATCATTAGCAATTTTAAAAACTATTCTTAATAGTCTGTGAAAGCTGTACAAAAAATTTCACATGATACTTGCCATAAATGTTTAGAGAAATTCCTATCCAGCACAATAAAGGAACTGAGGAGGAAAGAGAGCATTTATAAAGCCTATGTGCAAACCATTTCTATGCATATCACTTAGGTGTTTCTCACAATGAGAATTTTAGTGAACTGGCTATCCTCTGAACCAAGATAAAACATGGTGGTTGGAGGTACGTGGAATTTTTGTTTGCGAGTAGAAATCCCAATGATTTGAAGAAGCTGATGAGAGGAGCACAAGGGTTTGGGATCAGCGTACCCCAATGGAGGATGGGATCAGTGAGAACTCTTAGAGTAGAAGCAGGGCTGAGGCAGAGAGACCAAGACTGTGCTCATATCAGTGTACCACCAAATTGGGTAGGTTAGTGGCTTTTAAAGATTTGTCTTTCATCCTGAAAAATGCAAAGTATTTCATCTAGCAATTTTGGCTGATTCCTGTTAGGGAAAATTTCTCCATTGATTTGCATCAGAGTGGTCTGTGTTCAACTCTTTCCGAAAAATAATATTCTGAGGGGAATGTGAATTAAATAGTCATTATACCCAAACTATTATTAACATATTGCATTATTAACAATATTATCATAATACTATCTTATTAAAATCAGTATATCAGTAGAATGACTATTATTCCCTACCTTCATTTTGTGGTACATACTGTGAATGGGCTCTCTGGGCTGTAGGAAGCAGCAATAGTTTTAGCACAGGATTTCATACCACTTCATGGCTGTTACGTGAGCAGTTGCAGTATCTGTCTGTATTGTTGGAGCATTGGGTTCTTCTGTGTTTTGTATTGTGTGTGTGTGTGTCCTAAGACAGTCCTAAAGAACTTACCAGTATGGTAAAATCTGTAGATTTGCATGCAGGGACAATACATGATTCTGAATATCTTAGTGTACTTTGAATTAGGAGCCTCTTTTAGTGGGGAATTGGAGAAGATAACTTGCAGATGTATGTTCCAACCTAAATTATTCTATGATTTTGGTATTTTGTATGATTTTAAGAGTGCAAGAATGAATTATTTCCTTACAAGCATAGCTGAGCGGGGTCCACTAAGAATGTAGTTTTGTGACATACAGGGAAGTACCATGAGACTGTGTGAGCTGGTCTAACTTGGAGGTACTGCCTAACCAATGTGGATCCACTCTCCTTTCCTCCATTCCTGGCTGATCATCCACTTCTGCAGTTCCTTTTGCTGTTGTTTTGACAGTCATCTCATCTGACAAGATGGTCAGTTCAGCTCCCTTAGCATCACAGCACTTCAAGAGATGTGTACCAAAGCACATTGCAGTGTTTGGTGCAGGTGTGAGGAAAGCAGGAAAAAAAGGGTCCTTTAGGAAGATAACTGAAATGCATAAGGACGATGGGTTAGGCACGTTCTTAGGTAACCCAATGAGTGCCCAGAAAGCACTAGTCTCTGAAATCTACTGTTTTCTAACTTATGTCCTGTAGCCCTCACTAGTGAGTAGTATATCTTTTAATGATTTCACATTCTAATGGACAGATCTAACATTTCTGTGTTGATGAGCCATAGACACAGCACGTTGCTTGCCTGAGGTTGTCCACCAGGGGAAAGGAATCAGATTGCATTCCCCTTCTAGTCGATTGTGATATACCCAAACAGAAACAGTATTTGCCCAAGAGAGTTGCTAGTCTGTACTACTCAAATCAGAGATGAGATGTTTTTGTGGGTCCAGAGATGGGCTTTATGTTGTTCCAGCTCTGACTCATAATTATTACCCCTGCCACTTCATCTCCTGTGCTAAGCATCTCACCAAACCTACATACAGAGAAATAACCTTTTTGCTTCACAGCCCTGCAGAGCTTTGCTATCATTTTTGTAGAATCATTATACGTGTGTGTGCAGACATTCATTGATAGATAGGGATCATTAAGTGTGTCTGTGCTGATCAATACATATTTATGTAGACACACCCACGTGTGTGTATATAAATATATATGTTTCTATGTATCTATACTTAATGATCCATATATATCTGTGTATGCAACATTGAGCATTAACGTTTTCAGTGAGAGGATTTAATACAAGCTGGTCTGCCAGCATTGCTGTGGCTGCTGCCCTTGGCTATGTGTATGTTAGAAAATGTTCCTGGTTGTAAATGAATAGGTTATGAGTCCTGGCCCTGTCTAATACCTTCTCGTTTACGTGGCCACGCAGCTTTACCAGGGATGAAGTGGGAGC